TCTGTACAAGTCTTTATATTCGTATAAATAGCCAGTGTAACACATTTTTTTGGTAGATCTCCTGAATACCAAAACAAAAACAAAATTTATTTTTTCTCCTTGCTATTATTCACTATTCTTGTACAAAATGTCACTTTGCCATTATAGTTTAAAAATATTTAGTAAATTAATTGAAACTCTTAAGTGTTGGTGTCTATTCTTTATGTTGTGGTTATCTATTATTTAAACCATTCACATATATAATAATACCTGTTGGTGAACGATTTTTCTATAAAATCAATATCGTGAATGGGTACCCTTTAGTTTGACATATTTTTGAAAACACCAACCCTGGCTAATTTTTCTTGTATGGTAACGCAGAAGACTATTGCTGCGTACCAATAAACTCGATTTTACTTCTGTAGTCGAGCTTCATGTAAATTATAGCTTTTCTTTAATATTTCCATGTCGAACGCCGCCATTTAGGTTGCAGGCAGGTGGTAGGCAGAAAATACTTGACTTTCTGTAAAGTAATATACGTAAACCTGGAATCGTCATGTATTCTAGCGCGTTTAGGTGATAAGACTTGGGAGCTGCTTAAGAGTTGGGAGCAGGAGAGAAAGTGAAGGAAGATGGAACAATTCAAATTTAAAATTTAAATACAAGTAAAATAAAAAATGATACGATACAAAAAGGTGAGATGACGGTGAAAGGAGGTCACACTGTCACACCCTTTTTCACTAGAGCTACAGAAGTCAGACCCGTTAGAAAGGAACTAGTATAGAAGCAACATATGAGACCGTTAACTGCCTTCGTGGCCGCACTGCCACGCAGAGGTCTCAGGTTCGATTTCCGGTCTAGGAGAAATATTTGTATGGCTTACATTTATTTCTCTCGTGAGTTTGGGTGAAATTGGCTCCCGCAACACAGGGTTTCCCTAGTGCGGGGCTATGTTGAGTGAGTGTGTGAGAACGGTGACAGGCATCATGGCAAATGGAGTTGCGATCATGATTAAGAAATACCTTGGAGCTGCAGTTACCATTTTCCTCCCTATATCGGACCGTATGGTGTTACAACTTAGAACCAAGCCTATCGACATCAACATTGTATAAGTATACGCGCCCACCGCCGATAAAAGTGACAAAATTCTTGAACAATTTTATAAAGACCTGAAAACCGTCCTCCCTGATTTGAAAAAGCAGAAATGTACAGTAATCATGTTTGATTTCAACAACAAAATTGGTGAAGGTGATGTTGAAGATCTAGTCGGGCGGTTAGGTTTAGGAGTGCGTAATGAACGAGGTGACCGCTTAGTTCAGTTCTGCCAAGAAGAGTCACACCTTTTTCAAGTTGAGGTAACTTGAAAAAGGTGTTCCTTACAAGCACGACGGCTATATACATGGAAATTCCCTGCCGACTCACCAGCAAATATTATTAGAAATCAAATAGACTTCATACTTATCAATAAGAGATACAGAAATAGTTTCAAATCAGTTAAAACTTACACGGGAGCTGATATAGGTTACGGTCATAATCCACTTGTAGGGGTTTTTGCTACTAAGGTGAAGAAATCATAACCACCCAATATCAACTCAAGAATTGGAGTTTCGAGACTCAGGGACCAAGACATTAGAAGAAAACTCTACTGTGGGCACAGTAGTAAATTTCATTAGCTACAGGAGCACACGAGACTTCAGATGTCGATAACCTCCCCTGAACAGAATTGGAAATAGTATCAGGGATATTGAGACTATAATTGCAAAGGAGGTGGCTCCTTTTAATAAAAGCACTCCTGGCTTGCGCTATGCGACATCTAACTTCTACGCTGTGGTCTCCCTGGTCGTTTACCATACAGCCAAGGTATATAAAAGAACGGATACTGTCAAGCGGTTGGTTCCCAGCGTTGAGAACAGCAAACATCTGCAGAGCACGGCCGACAAGCATATACTTAGTCTTTGTGACGTTAATATTCAGACTGTTCTGTGCGCTGATCGACTCTACACGATTGAGCAGTTGCTATAGATTTTCCATCCAGCTGGCATGGTGAATTATATCGTATGTTATATCGTATGTTATCGAGGCGTCGCCCGTTACAACAATCCCTTCGGTTGCGTCTTCAAGGACTTCTGAAAAAATCTCCTCTGAGTAAACGTTGAACGGTGATAATATACATCCTTGCCTCACTCCTCGTAGTATCTCCACATCGTCTGTGAGTTCTTGCTTTACGCTTACATTTGCTATCTTATGCAGTGTAAAGATTTTTAATCACTAAGATGTCTTTAGAATCTAGGCCTATCTTTGTCAAGAACTATATCAACTTGTCATGTTTCACATAGTCGATGAAATAGATGTAAGCATCGACAAGATACCGTTTAGTGCAGTGCTACATATTTTCAATTCTTTTGTACGAAGTATTTAATTTCATTTCACATTGCATTTAACTTCACATTTAATTTCATTTCACATT